GTGACATAATTTGGATGTACCATAATCCATGGTTCATGTGTGGTATTAGTGAACCCTAAAAAAATATAGTGTACCTATTGTTTAATTTTCAAAGCATGTCATGCATATAATATTATGCACAAACTGCGGGCTGAGAGCATAAAACAATATTAGCGCATCCGGATACCGACATACTACGCACAATCACCCACCGAAAAACAACTATGAATCGACCCAAAATATAGTCTGTTTGGGTAAAAAATATATACTCTTTGGGTAAGGGTTTATTCAACTAGAAATATCGTTTGGGCGAATAGATGTATACCATTTAGGCGAAGATTATCAAAAACATTGGCATAGATATTAATAATATTATTATAAAGTTAGATAGTAATCTACAGTCAAATAATAATTTCACTCGTTCAAACGGTACAAATAATAGCGGCTCAAACGGACTATTATTGTTTTGGTTAAAATTATTACCTTCGCCCAAACGACCACCGTCTGTGGCTATGAGCAGAGCTTGCGCTAATGGGTAGTTCTAACCAATATGGGTAGTTCTAAATTAAAATGGGCAATTCTAAAAGCCAATTTGGTCATTACCAAAAATCGTGAATTTTCTGTATTATTGGCATATTATGTAATATTGTTTAATTTAATTATAATATGTATTTTATTTAATATTTTTTGTTTGGTTTTATCACCACAAATGTTATCAATCATGAATCCATTCCATAACATTTATTATCATATACATGTAGAAGATTGTATAATTTATATGATAACACGAAGCAATTCGAGCAATACAGTACTGATAATAATGTGACCATTCAATATTTAAACTCCGACCATAATTACCAATAACACAGAACAATATAGTATAATATAGTATATGAATCACATACTTGGTAAAAAACTAAAAGTTATAACGGGTAATAAATACCACAGCTGATTTCTATATAGTATAAGATATCTGTGATAAATATTAAATACATAACTGTCACAATGTTTAAATATTGTTAAAAAAAAAAAAATGTTTTAATTTGTTATTATTATTAATTGTAATAATGTAATGAATAAAGTTTTGAATAAAGAATTTACATGTGTAGTCATTTTATAGTAAATAGTGGTTGTTAAACGAATTTAGCGAACGGCAAATTTAGTTAATCTGCATGTACAAAAATATTAAAATGTTGGGCAGTTCTAAAATTTTCTTAGCGCTAGCTCTGGCTATGAGTGTGTATGTCGTTTACTCGTGTATGCTTCAATTGGAAAGGGAATAAATATATTGCAAAAATTTGTCTTATTAACGGTAAAGTGTTAAAGGGCGAAACCATAAAGAAAGTAAAGGAATAGAAAGAGACAAAACATGCAGATAATCGTAAATCGTAATACAAGAACACAATTATAGTGTATGAATATTGCCTATTGGATACTTTAAATAATAGTGTGTACAATGTAGGTCGGTTCTGTTAGTGTATAGTATAATTACTGGCTAACAATATATAAATGTAGTTACCTGCATCTTTCGTGTCATCCCACTGCATAGGACTTCTTGCAAAATTTACTTTATCTGGTATATCTTCCATTCCAATTTCTCCTCCATATAAAACTATAGCTATGCCGGGTAGAAATAAGGAAAAAGCATTCATGCCATCAATTAATTTTGAACCGTATAAAATAGAGAATCTTTTGTGGTCATGATTTTGGAGCTAAATTATAAGGGTTTATGATTAAATTATTAAGAATACCGCTACTCACTAAATTCGAATAAATCTAATAATTCTGATTTTAAAAAAATACTCGTATGCATAATATTATATTTAATATAAATATTTCTTCTATTTATACCACTGAATTAAATGTTGCTCCAACTGGCATTTTAGTTATCCATTCTTCAATATTTCTCGCAAAATCCTTCGGAGTATAAGAAGAGTATCTTACTAAATTAAAGTTTGTTGGTACATCGACTCCACTAGTATAATATTTAAATAAAACACTGTTATTACTGTATGATTCTGTCATAATTATCCTGAAAAAAAAACTTCATTAAAATTCTAATTATAATAATAAATAATAAAATAATATGTCAATACAATCATAACACTATTAAGAAAATGCTACATCCACAAGCGTCACTCCGTCTTACGAAGTTAGGTACGAACGTATGATAAGAAAATTTTAAGTTCTGAATAATCTATGTAACTTTGTAACGATTAATATTAGATTAAATTAATTTATTATCAAAATTAAAAGCAAGAATGTTATCTAATAAATGTTGTAAATTTATTTGTATTTTAATTTCATTATTATAAAATAATACTTGAATCGATGATTGTAAAAATGACACGAGTCACATTTTTGTGAAACGTCATGAGTCAAAAGCTTTGAAAATCATTAATAAAAAATCATCATATTATTTGTATACACAAATTATGTATAATCAGTACATAATATATTTTTACAAGTATTCATTTTCAAATAAGAATTTTTTTTCAGCATTATATAAATCATATACTTTTTTATCAATTATTCAAAAGTTTTAAAAAATTGATTCATGTCATTTCTACAATCATCAATTCATTAACATTTTTAAAGCATAAAACAATTTACAATTTTAAAGTTATCATAGTAAAAACTTAAAATTAAAAAAAATAGTTTATTCTAAAATTCAACACAATAAAGTTCGAATGGTACAATATGCCACGTTATCCATTTGTAGGACGAAGATGAGGTAAGCAGGTGGTTTGTCCTTAATTGTAAAATATTTAATTTGAAGCAAATTTATAAAAAAAATAGGTAGTTCAAAAATTATAAATATTGTTGAAAATATTTTTATCGAATTTACTTGATACTATTAAGTTTGCTTGTGCTGCTTTAATTTCTTTAATTTATATGGAAAATGTCTTTTTTTATACAATTTATTTAAATACACATAAAATATATATTTTCTAGATAAAATTGTTTATCCATTATTATTAATTTGATAAAAATAAAGTATAAGTTCATAAACCTATTCCACATAAAAACCTAACTAATAATAGCTCTGTAGTTGGTTTCATAATACCAGATATTTCGATCGCAGCGTGAGTAAAATACAATTCTTGGTAAACATTTTTAAATATTTTTTCATACACATATAAGATAATGCCTACTTAAAAATGTCGTGTAATCTGTAGCCATTAGCCAGTCATGTCCATCGGTAATCTAAACAAGTTACATCACCAAAGTAAAGTTACTTTATTATTACTTGGCCACAAATGACACGACATTTTTCAAGTCAATGCTATTTTATGTGAAAAATTAACATGTTTTCTTAAAATCCTTTCAAGAAAAATATTATCCACATGTTACGCTATAATCTAATGTCTAGTGTTAATTAACCGAATTTAGTGGGAAAACTAATTTAATATAAAAAACTTATAACAACTATATCAAACAAGCTAATAATTTTTAAAACCTTGTAAAATGATCGTTTTGTTTGAAATCATCGAGCAATAGACGCCAATCTTGAATCAAGTCATATATTTCCTCTTGGTCTGTTGTATAAATATGATCCAAATTAGTGTAATTATTACCAACGATACTACTATCTAATATCGGTTCGTCCTCCAGATTTTCACTTTCGTATACATGTTTTAAAGCATCTATTCGAATACCATCAATTCCCAATGTTATCCAATAATTCAAAATATTCTTCATTTCTTCATGAACTTTTTTATTTCGAAAGTTTAAATCTGGTAAATTCTGGATGAACTGGTTAAAATAAAACTGCTTGCGAGTCGTATGCCAAGTCCAAGCACTTTCATCACCACAAATACGTAGCTAAAGTTATAATTGAACAGGAATCAATAAAAGATAATAATATGTATTATATATATTATAAAGACAGGGTGTAACCAACATGAAAAAATTCGCAGGCCACATAGACAAATAAAATTATATCAAGAACCAAAATATTTATAGACATATTTTACATGATTTTATAATTATTTTTAAGCTAATGCCTAAAAAATTAAAATTCATGATAATATTAAGTAAATTTTGGTGTTATAAATAAGTAGCGATCTGATCATAACGAGAGCCATACAATGACAGCAAGTTGGCCACCTATAATATAGACTATATATAACGACTACTCCGAGTTTATTCTTTTATCCACACTTGATTGTCAAATGCTGACGACATTGGTTATTAAACAAAAAATTAAAGTACTTTAATCGAAATTCAAAAATATTTATCGTAGCGACTTTTAGAAATGACTTAATTACATACTTTTGTAAGAATGTAATTTATACTATCGACATTTGATATTTATAAAAACTCATACTCGCATTATTATAATAATATATAATAATTTATGCTATATAGATATATAAATATAACATAATATGATTTGATGAGACACTAACACAATCTACATAAATTACATTTTAAGCATTACCCAATTATTCGGCACAATGGGAATTGTATTATTGTTTAACACTTCCTCTTGATTTTTCGCATCTTTCCAAATATAATAGTCTGCGTAATCAGTTTCATTATTTGCAGACTTTTCAAACCAAATATGTTTATCACTGGTATGATTAGGAACAAAGTCCATGATAACTTTTAAATCTATTAAATTATGATTCATTATTTTTAAATGCTATTAATGGTTAGATTTTAATTTAATAATATATTATACATAAAATATACATAACATCATGTATACATAAAACATACTTTTTGAATGCGCCGCATTTAAAAGATCTTTGAAATCGTCTAATGTACCAAATACTTCTTGTACCTTAAGATAATTGCTTATGTCGTAACCACCAGATTTTAAAGGTGATTCGAAAAATGGCGTTATCCAAATTGCGGTCACTCCTAAATCTACGATGTAATCTAATTTTTCAGTTATACCTGATAGAAAAAATAACAGTAATTTTAATTAATTTCAAAAAAATAAATACGAGTATACCTTTAAAATCGCCTGATCCATCGCCATTTGAATCTTTGAATGACAACGGAAATATTTCATAAATTATAGCATTTTGCCACCAATCTACAACTGTAGTTGCTGTAGTTGGCGAAAAAAGTACTTTACAATATGCGAACTGCACAGTAGTTATTAAAAAATAAACCCAATACATTGTTGATGTAATAGCTTCGGCCAACTAAAAATTAACAAATGTCAAATGTCTTACTAATAATTGTAATAATAAAACTTGATAATCGTGATTATATATATATATATATATGGTAGGTATTCAAGGAATACAATACATATTTTAATTATTTTTTTTATATTTATCTTTATTTGAGTTATTTTATAGCTTTAAATACTATCAAAAAACATTTTATTGAAATGTTCTGAGATATAGATTAACAAATAAAGATAATTATGATAATTGTATTTTTTCGTTAAACGTATTTCTGTCTTAAAAATATAATATTAGCACCTTTTTTTTATTTACATATTTTTTACATACTTATAAACAGACAAATCGAATATTTGTATTTTATATCTCCTGTGCTAATATAAGCACAAACAATGAAACAATGCACAATATTGCCTTATATTTTTAAAGATCACTTAAAAGACTAAAAGATAATAAAAAATGTATTCTTTTATAATCCATGTAAAGTATGTAAATAACTTAGACTTATATACTATGTTTTATACAAGAATAGATAAATAATAATAAATACATATCAATAAGAATAATTATAATATCTAGCTATACCACTGTTTGAAAGAACGTGATTAACGCATGTCCATAGTTAGTACTTTTCAAATTATCGTTCAATAGATTCAAGCAATCGTCAAGAAACTGATCGAACAAGTTTACGGTATAATAACATTTTTAAACTACCGTCTACCTTAAATCATGGAATAATTTTTATTCAAATTAATTACAAATGCTAAAGTCTCAAAAGGTCGTTAAAAAATTCTAGTACTAGTTTATTCTTACCCTGCCATCTAGTTTAATATCTAGGAAAAATATAAAATGTCGATTTTTATAGTCGATATTTCTGCATTCATATGATATCTTAAATGTAGGTTAGTTTAAAATGTCATCTATTTAAGGTAAAATTATTATTATTATTTTTTTTACCTTTTATAATATTTTAAATTTTATTTTTGATGTGAATTGTAATTTTTATTAATATGTTTAAAGCTTATCACAGGTTGCTTTTAATTCTAATTTAAAATTCTTAAATATTTACTATCTTACAAAAAATAATAACCAATTTTAAAATATTATTTAAAATTAATATTAATGATTATTTTCCGCTATGTTCAATGTTGGCATTCAATTATTACAATAAAAATTAATGTTAGAACAAATAAAATGTGTGATATTTAAGGATCTTTAGAAAACTCTCTTATTTTTTTTTTTTCATGTTACTATAATATATTATTATAGTTGTTAACAATGTTATTATTAATTTTTATTATTATACACCATTATTTGAATGTCTTGTGTCTTGTGATACTATACAAAAAATATCAATATCATAGTACAATGGATAATTACCTTGTAGCGGTGTGCAATAACTAGCAAGTATCAAATGTTTTCAATCAAAATGTTTTAAAACCGTTTAGAACATATTTAATCAAGTTTAGTTCAACATTTAAATCATCCATTAAAATTTCAATAAAATTCTCATCACAGAAGTTATCTAATTATGTTTGAAGTTTCATAAGTATTAGTTTGAAAAATTATTTTTATATACGTTTATGTTTCTATTTTTAATATGTTCAAAAATACTTGTTGATAAAAGTTTAAAAACAAGTTTCTAGACCATTATTTTTAAATTTATGACTAAATAACTAAAATAAATTTCATAATTTGACAAATTTACTGTTATTAGTCGGGTTTAATTTTTCAAGAGTGTCAGTTCTTAAAAACATTCTCTTTACTCAGAATTTAAAATAATCATTTAATGTAAATTTAAATTAGACGTATAAATTATTTTCCTAATATTTGGTTGAGAGGTTAAGTTTCTATAATCCATTTATCTACCACTTCACCTATTAGTCTATAATTTTAAAAGTCATAACTAATAAGTAACTATGTTAGAGTGGAGCACGGTGAATTTACATTGGTAGCATGATATAAATATATCACAACACTGTTTATCCGGAAATTAACTCTGAAGAACAAAGTTTCATAATATTTTTATAAAAATAAATATTCAAAGAAGATAGATAACAATAAATTATTATTTTTTAACACCAAAGCTGCAACCGAAGCTAACAGCTTTGAAAATCCGGATTAAAAATCCATTACTTAAAACAAAAAATTCAAAAAATCACCCCACTTGCAAAATCGAAATCGTTAAAAGTTATTTCAAAAAATATTCTCAAAACAATTTAGACCGATAACATTTAAAACGATTTCGAGCCCTGAATTTATTTGTATGTTATTTTTTTGCTCACAAATACAATTATAATATTAAACGGTCTACAAACAATTGTATATTTAAAATTGTTTTATAATGCATGATTTATTTTAAAATTAGCCATTTATTACAAAAATTATTATCTAATAATAATTTTTTAATTTAGTATATTTTAGTAACAGACACTCATTAATACATAATAATAGTACTACGATAGTTTACAATAGAGAAAAACTTATTTCTTCAATTTTTAAGCACTTCAGTGAAACCTGTGATTTTATTTTTTAGAAAAATAAAATGAGTACTAATAATATATATATATATATATATATATATATATATAGGTATATATTATAATTATCTATAAATAAATATCTGATAATAAACCTCAACATTATGACATGATAGTTTATGAGGCTATAAAATTAATTTTATTGCAAACTGTACTTGAATCGTTATACCTGTATTTGTCTAAATGTCTATAAAACAATATAAAAATTAATCCCCAGTTCAAGCTTATTAAATTTAAAGTATAGTATAAACTATATGTGATTAAAATATTAAATTCATTTTTCACTGTAGGTAATTATATTGCGCTTAAAAATTATAAGCACAATTTCAGTATTATTTAAAATATTATTAATTAAATAGTTAAATAATAGTATAGTTTAGTTTTAATTATCAACTTTAATAATAATTGCATAATAATTATTACTAAGAATTACTTCAAAGGTAAAAATGTTTAGATTTTCAACTAACCTATGGGGTTTCTAGTAACAAATTAGAACTAGTTCATAAAATTCTTAAATATTTTTCAAAATAATAAGGAAAACTCAAATTTTTAAGCAAAACTCAATTTTTGACGAAATTAATTTTTTGTTATAATTCAAAATGAATAAGTGTAAAGATTTGATATTTTCACCAAATGTTTCAATTAACTTTTAGGGTATAAACAACAAAGATGATACGATTTCAGACAAAACAGTTCTAAGTCTGTTGCGCAGACAAACGATAATTTTTTTGAACAATATATGAACATATTATTGCACTAAAAATATAATATTATATATATATCATTATAAAAACAAAATCAAAATGACAAACCCAATGTTTGGTATTTTTGAAAAAAAAAAAAGAAAAAGCATAGGTACTAAAAACATAAAACCAACAATATTAAACCAATATTTCAGTTTGTACTGAAACTAATAATAATATAATATAATATTTATGCATAATAAAAACTACATAAGACACATAAATAAGAAACATCTATTCACGTTTGCAGAGTACCTATGATTATAATAAAAATATCAATTTAATACCTAAATCTATTTCAAATTTAAACGGCCAATGAAACCTAAACGAAAAATTGGTCCGATTAAAACAATTTAAGTTCTATCGACCGCTGTCTGCAGCCATAATGAAATCAACGTCGCCGAAATAATTAATATATCAAAAAAAAAAACAAAAATATTATTACCACTAACAAATTATAATACATATTATCGAAATATACAAAGATTGTGTAGATACAGTGGTGCAGCAAACATTCTGATTATAACTTTTATTGAAGCTGATCATTGCCTTATTATCAGAAAAAAAAACATCTTATTGATATTATTCATGAATTTTAAGGAAAATTCGACGCATATAACATATTAATGTGTATAATATAATTACGTCTACCGACGTAAGTCCGATTGAAGTCTGTATGTTTTTCTGGTATATTTTACGTCACTCTTGCATAGTTTTGAACAGCCGTCTCTGTCTGTCGTATTTTTATTTTATCGTGTGAATAAAATATTATCTTTATTCATATTAAAATTACGTCTAGGGATAGTTTTACAAAATCCATATTTTCCTTCCCAATTTTTAGACTGAAAATTTAATCAAACTAAAAAATTGGTATTATTCATAATATTAGAGTTGTGTTTAATTGAAAAAATGTTATATAAACTGCTAAAAATGACACATTATAATCAAATATCTGAATAATTGATTATCACTAATTTTTAAAATTTTTAACGTCTGAAAATAAACAGAGTATTATCTCGGAACCCAATTTA